TTGACTGAAATGCGAACATTCTGTTCTCGCAAAAGTCTATACAAATACAAATACAAATAACTAAATTCTGTCGACGATGCGGGTGTCAGTCGGTACTTGAGGGCCAGAACAGGTAGTATTTGACTACGATCCGTACCCTACATAATGCAAGTAAACTCTTTTCAAATAGAAGCACCTGAAAGATCAACCATATCTTTTTAATTTCCGTTTATCCCTTTTCTATACCAAATCAGGTCTTGCTGCGGCTTTGGCTAATCGGGATCGATTATTAGAGTACGATGCGACATCAGCCCGACGAACCCGTGTTCTGGATGATGAGATGGATTATTTCGTGTCCGAGGGTGCTGGCGGAGCTCAAGTCTGGCTCAGCCCGGAAGCACGAGAGCGAGTACAAAAACGTGTCAAAGAACTGCGCGCTCAACGCCACGCATCCCGACTAGAGGCGATGCGGTTTTGTTTGGATTTCGCCGGACGAGAACTTGTTCTCGAGGTAATTTACACTCAGGAATGTACTTACCGGATTTGCTTGATCGACACAAGTTGGTCATCACTTCAGATGAATCCAGTGGTCGGCATCACTTTTTTTATGCATCATCTTCATCATCCTGCAACGAAATGCAGTGAAGCTAACGGGTTGTATTGCCTATTTTAATTCTTCTGAGCAGGTTTTACCCTAGATGTGAGGTAGAACAATGGGGCCAAGTATTCAATATATCCCGCGGAACTTGTTCTTACCACTCAATGAAGTACAGCTAGATGAGGGGTAAAAAATGTCCAAGATATTTTGTAGCTGCATTTAAAGTTGGCTGTACGGTTTGACAAATAAATTTGAAGTTGAGTACAAACTCAGTCGTTACACGGCGTCCTCCGAACCCAACCACGCACTCACACTTTGCTATTTATGTCGCATGATTCGGCTTTAATCTTCAAGGTCAGAATCCAATCAAATGTCACAGGTAAGCCCTTGCTGATTCCGGAATGAAACGTATACTGTACAACTGGCGGGCAAGCGGGTGAGCAGTAGATTGCGCAGAATTCGACTGTTGATTAGTTGATTGCATGCGTTTATCTCTTGAACTTAAACTGCGATAGCTTAGAGATGTGTTGCACATGCCTTTGAGTTATCTCGAGGAAGCCGGTTTATAAATTATGCTTCTTCGCTGGTGCAGTCTCTGGTTCTCACAGTTAGAATATTCAGTTGGAAATGCATCGAACGCTCTTGTTTTCGTTTTAGGAAGTTTACAGTTCTATGTTTATGCATATCGTAGAGGTAAACGTAATTGGATGAGAAAGAACAATAATATCTATCAAGTTATATAGAGCACATGCAGAACGGGGGAGGGAGGGACCAAGACCACTTCTGGAAATTTTCGATGATATATTCACGCGCGACAAGTCACTCCATGTTGCATCATCACAACTTGATTGTGGTCATGATTCGGTTCAGCAGTTGGAGTGTGACAATCATTCTCTTCTATTTGCATAGTGGTGGGTTCAGGATTCTGATTGCGACTGCTCCTGCCTTTGCCAAGCGACGTCGAATGTACTTGGAATTGTTTTGGGGAACTTTGTAGATGACTTTAAATGCATTGTGTACTTGGTGCACGGTATCAGCGAGGTAGGCTGTAATCGCGCTGATTATTATTTTCTCCTATCCCGTATCTAGCTAGGCCGGTTTACGTTCTTTTATCCTTTGTGAAAACTGTCATCCTTCATCCCGCATAACTTGCTGAACATGTGCAAGTGAGGGAGTATGTAGTTGTGGATTATTATTATTATTATATCACACACGCCTGACGCCAGATTGTGTGCTTAATAAATCATGGTACAATAATCTTCATAAAAAGAAAAGCGTTCCATGATTTGCATGTGGGCTGAATACTGTCAAGTTGCCCAGGTCAAGGCAGATGAATTTTCTTGAAGAATCCACAACCGGAGCCTTCGGCTAGCCAAAGCCTAACCCGCACGGCAGCGGGGTGGTGTGTGAAAACCGCCATCCTTTGGGGCCGGTGTCCAGTTCATCGGGTCACGCCCTTTGGATGGTGTCAAACGTCCAAAGTGCCCAATACACCTTGATCCCCAATCGAGCATGTGACCACTGCCACACCGAGGAGGGTGTGGGTGAGAAAATAGAGAGCTTAACCTTTAGATTTGTGCGAAGCTTTGACCGTTTTGTAAACGTACCATGTAGAGTGGTGCGTTCGTGTGATTGCTTTGTCCAACGTCTTCTTAGCATATCTCTACCTGAATCTCCTTTGAAAGGAGAACTGCAAGAATAGTTCTTTCTTTTGGCCCGTGATTGCTCAGTGAATTACTCCGGGTATCCATTATTCAGGAGTGTGGGCGTGATGTTTCTCAGCGGGTCTTCCACCGACTCCGTCGAGCTGGTCTTTTTAGCTCTAAAGGCCAGGCATTGTGCTAAGTTGCGTTTATGTTTGATTGGAACCAAACTTTGACCGGTCCAAGCTGATCTGTGAAAAATCGAACGGTACAACTTTCCATTTGGTCCCTTCTTGAGGTTCCCGTCGAGATAATGAAGTGTGTTGCTATCTCTTTCAGTCAGCTGATTAACGGACGAGCTGGGTTATAATGATCAAATATTAGATGTAATAGAACGTTTTGATTGGAAGGGATAAAAATATCGTCGACCTAACGGCAGTTTAATGGTAGTTGATGGATAACGTCCCGTAGATCCTTGTTTTGCTATGTGCACTTCTGTCAGATGCGTACCAAACCGATAACCCGTCACTACACCGTCTGTGCGTCTGTAAATTGCTTTATTAAGAAAAAAACTGTATTTTAATTGTACACCCCCCATGATAATTCCCTTAATTTTGCAGTTGGAATTCCCATCTGTATGTTTTACTCATCAATGTACTAGCAGATCTGCACGTTTGTGAGTAGGGGTTGTGTCCAGGATGCTGATTTCCAGATCTTTAACGTCCGGCTCTGGAATTAAATCAACAAATTTGAAGTTGAAGCATTAAGTTCCCTGTTGATGAAATACGAAAGTATCTTTTACACTGCCTGCTTCTCCATGGGTTCCTTTAGAACTCGACAGACGATTTTTCTCTTACCCATTTACCCTATCGTGTTCGCTTCCATCTTATAAACACATCCTACTGTAGATGCCCGAAGACGAAATTACGGTGTTATCATGGGAATCTTCCACGAATACATTGGTTAATTATCAAACGACTAAAACAACTCTGGTCGTATTGTACACTGGAATCCGTTGTCGCATCAAAGGCGACCACATGCTTTCACACCTGGGTTCAGCTTCATCGTTTTTGTACTTCATAACTGTCAGTCACAGTTTTGCCGGGCGAGATTCCTTCGTACACAGATCATGTGTCAAACCCGTTACTCGTTTTCCAATTGTTGTTTGTGGCACTGTCTTACTGAAATCACCCTTGATTGTTGCGGCTTATTATGCAAGTCGTATACGATTGGGATTAGCGTGAATAGTGCTGCAACTTTTGCCATTTCAAATAAAATGAACTACCCGCGTAATGCGCCACATTCAGTTCTACAAGGCATTATCCCACTTTTTGATTTGTTGGTGGCGCATTACCCCAACCACCATATTTTTCATTTTTTCTTTAGGATGACCGTGACGAAGCTGCACGCCAGTTGTACAATCCAAATCAGTCAGAAATGGATCAACTAGAGACAGCCACACGATCCGCGACGCATCACTCTTCAACCAGTGCAGAACGAAACCCGAAAGACGTGGATAGCCTCACTGATCCCACATTGGGGATATCAGCGCTGAAGGTAAGTGCCTCAATTCAGGAACAACGAACGCAAAGCTATCGGTATAAAAGTTATACGCGCTTTGAGTTTTTCTTACGGTTGGGTTGGGTTGGGTTGGGTTAGGTTGGGTTTTTACCTCTAATCGTTTATGGTGAGCAACCACACGGTTGTTCGACTCAATAGCACACCCATCTTATTGAAACCTCTGGTTCAAGTGCACGAGCATAAGTCGTCGGCTCCAGTGACCGAATAGCAGGCCTTGATGATGAGGTTTACCCTCGCATACTGTTAGTCACACAGCGTGTAATAATTAACTAGTATTCTCATTCTCCATCGAGCTGTGCAGTCTCGGTGAATGACTGACGAATTACTCAATGTCTCGTCATGGACCATATATGCAAACTGTTTAGCTACGCGATAGCTCTAGGATTCCCGATGAATAATTGCAAATCCGGATACCGTAACATATGTTTTCATCAATATCACATTCGTCTGTTTATCGTCGTAAACAACCCCACGTTGTCCAGTATTTTACATAAATTCGTTTAAATGGTTGGTCAATCTCATACGGTTCCTCAGTGAATCGCTTTGTTCGGCTCGGAAGGACCACACAGTAACACATTGAAGCTACGTTTGGGTTGGGTCACCACTTTGCTTTCGGACTATTGAATAGCTCTTTATTTCGTCTGTTCCCTTGAACAGAAATTCTCCGCACGAGTAAACTTCCATTTTTTTACTTGCCAAATGTTTCTACGTCACAGTGTGTGCGTTGTTTTCTCATGCTCATTCACTCACGTCATCCTTGTTCCCATCTCGATGTAGTTTGTCAATACCGATCGGGTAACACCGGAGTCGAATGGTCTGGAGCAGAATGCACTTGTTTGCGCCCTCCGTCAGCCACTGGGAGAACTGAGGTTACAAGATGACGGATCGCGACAGCTAACAGATGAAGGATACTGTCTGAGCATGCACCAACCTTGGGCCTCGTTTTTAATCCGTGGAATCAAAAAGTGAGTTTAGCACCCACTTACGAATGAAGCTGATCGAGAAGATATTAATATACAAACTAAGTCAGTAATGCAAAGTTTCGAAATACCGAAAGCGTATCTACGCCCGAGGTACTTTTTGTCCTTTACAGCGATCATGAGGACCGGGTTGCAGTTGGGTCGGGGTTCGTTTTATAGAGAACAACGTGAACCACACAGCGTAACCGCTTATCAAAGCTTCTTCAATTTTCAAACAGGAGTATCTAGTCAATGCTTTTTCGAGTCCATTATGCGATATTGTGTCGCACTTAATAATTTGTACCTTCTCGGTCAGTACCAAAATAATGTAGACGGCAGTGTTCACCATCGCATTAGCTTAGAAATCTAGTGCCCTAATCTTACAACCGCGAATGCTTAATGCGCGAAGGGCTGCAATAAAGTCACTGGCAGTGAATACCCACCGTGTAATGTCAGTGATAGTTGCAAATCGGCCTTCAAAGCGGAGCTCTCCGGTCGCCTGTCAATTCAACCGCCAGCCGAAAAATTCAATGAACACTGGAAGCGAACCAAAGGAGCTACGCAAATATCGATAAAAACAACGTCGGACCCTGACGCAAATGACGGACCTCGTCTACCCTGCTGGACACCCGCAGAACCCTTCCTCTCAATGTGACACGACAGCGCGCAAATCCCGTAAAAGTCAGCTCACCAAGAGTCTTCGGAATGACCGCGAGAACTGGTGGCTAGGTAAATCTGGAGAGATGTAGAAAGCTGCCGTTACTGGTGACAGTCGCCTTCATTTCCATGTGAATAAAAATACGGGCCATAGGAAAATAGGCGTAAGTAAGGTAATAAAGGAATCCGATAGAACACTGATTCACCATTGACAACGCCGTTTTTGTCGATAGGTTGACATTTTCGAGCCTCAGTTCAACTGGCCCCCATCTAACTCAGACACATTGCCCCTCCCCACCCCACTGGGCAAATACTCCCAGTTGATGCCAGTCCTCCATCTGAAGTAGAGGTTTACACGCAACTACCTCTCATCAAAAGGTATAAGGCCATCGCATTTAAAGATAGAGGTTTAGCGTTAGTCTCACAGTTGACGGAACTCCTGGGCTCAGTGTACGAGAGGGAAGGGGTTCCAGCTGAATGCTGCGAAGCAGTCATACCAAATAACAAAAGGGTGACTGTCCCACTTGTGAAAACAACAGAAGACATTATTTAATCAACACTATCTCTACACTTCTAGCTGGAGTCGTACCTCGTCTATTCTCTGCCACACTTGAACAGTACAAGCGTAAGAATCACACTGGCTTGACGCCTAGTCGAGGTTGTATCCACCCTTCACCGAATTCTTGAACACCGACATTCCTTTTGTGAACCCACCATTCCTGTCTTCCTCGATCTGAAAGTGACCTTCGACTTAGTTGACCACTATAAACTCTGGTACTGCCTCTCTATGAAGAGTATGCCCGAGAAGTTCATTTCAATTCTGCGATCTCTTCATACTAAAAGCCGAAGCCGAGTCCACGCTTACGGCACTTCTCCGCCCGAGTTCACCACGGAAAGTGGTGTTTGTCAGTGTTACCCTCTCTCTCCTTTTCTGTTTAACTTTGTTATAGGTTTGATCATAAAAACAGCCCTATCCTCGTGCGAGGATAGTGGCATCGCTTTACTCTCAGGTGGTAGACTGTCTGACCTGTAGTACGCAGACGACACTGGGCTACTAAGTGAAGCTCTAAGTTGAAAGCTTTACTGGATAGTTTGAGTGACGGTGTAGCCAGGTTCATTATGCGTTTTGCACCTTCAAAGTGTAAAATGTTACAGGACTGGGTTGCTCCAGCTCCAAACCTCGCTCTAACAGGGGAAGTAATAGAGCAATTGGACGCATCACGGATGAAGTGTCAGCTGGCGTACATCAGGTATAATTGGCATTGGTTGACTTGAGACAACAGTGGCGTCGTCGCGACATTCGGCTTTTCGTGAGATGGTCGAATGTATACTGCGGCTGGAGACACTTCGGGATATGCCATCGAACCGATTTCAGTGGCGTGACTTCTTTCTCTGGAATTCCAAAGTAAAATAGTCGGAATAAGATGCAGGAAGCAAACGAAATTATCATCTCTGCCAAGACTGCTTGTTTTTCGTTCTGTTTCTGTATTTCTCTTGCTACCCAGGGTTAATTTGGCGATCTGTATTAAAGTGTTGACTGTTGAGATCCTGCTCGCTTTGAGTGCTTCTTTGAACAAAAGCGCTGTAAAGGTATGAAATTGTGTATCCAAGGTATATCCATCGAAAGCATTTCATTAGTGCTCTCTTAATTTTATTTCACGACTTGGCTCCCTATTCCCCTCATTTTTAACAGGGATGAGGGACGCGTTTGGTATTCAGCTCATAGGGGCCCCTTATGGATTGCTTCTACCGTCAAAGTCCCGGATCCAGACGATATTGACGTCATGGAAAAAGCTCATATTGCCAGCGGTTAGTTATGAAATTGTTGTTTTTGTAGCTCATTTGGTCGGTTTCCTCTACCCATTGGGATGCTGTTTAGTACCATGCTCAAACTTGGAAAATATTTTTCCAAACATATTCTCGAGACTATTATCGTATTTGCTACGATATACCGCATCTAACTGCAATACCATTCACATCATTTTTCTATGTGAATACAGACTTTTTTAATTGCCATGGGTAAAAGGGATACGCATGACTTAATTGCCTTGACGTAACTGGAGGTCTCTGAATTTCTTAACGGCTTTTGTCTCACCTTCGTTTATTATGAAGCAGTCCACCGTAACGGCACTCAGTTTGGTACCTTTATCTTTCTCTTCAGGAGCTAATTGTTCTTTCTCATATCAAAATAAGCCTATTTCCATTTTCTGATCAGTTTCTTTTTTTTTCTGATATAAGCTGTTTTAAAATTGATGTCATTTTATCTATTTGGCCTTCTTCAGGGGGATCGAAAACCGATCTGCCCACATCTTATCCTACTGGATGCTTGCTAGGTCGAGTGAACGTGGTGGATGTGCTCTCCCAAGAACAATACCGGGTCAAGGTGAGCATAGTCTTGCGTTTTTAGATTTTACTACCATAGTTTCAGTTTTTACAACCATTAACGATGCTTTTTCGTGCATCGGATTTAGTTCTTGCCTCATGACTGCCCATTAAAAAGAAAGAGTGGAAATTTTGCGAGCAAAAGCCAAGAGAAGATGGAGTTAAAAGGATAATGAGTAGATGCACGAGAGCCACTGTTTACGATAGTCATATCGCTCAGTATCTCTAACCACCGTTTACGGTAAACCCCAGGGTCCTCTTCCAGGTAGCTTAACATGAGCCATATGGCCCAGTCTCCTGGTTAGGGGTTTCACACCATCGTGCCGCGTCCTGTTTTGATCACCTTTGGTTTTTTCTACCCACTACCTGCTTCTGCAAACATTGCGCTCTGTAGCATTCTATTTTGTGACATGTGCAACACATTTCCCAACCACCGTAGTCTGTGGAGATCGACCACTTGTTCCAGTGGGCGACTCCGGTTAACTGAACTTCTCCGTCTAACGTCAGCACTGCTTGT